GTTCATTCCGATTAATTCGTAAATTCTGTTAACTCCTCCTGTTCAATCTTGAAATATTCTGTTAGCTCCTCCTGTTGCACATTCAACTCCTCCGTCTAATAACATGTGTTATTCTGTTCATTCCGTTTAATTCGTAAATTCTGTTAACTCCTCCTGTTCAATCTTGAAATATTCTGTTAGCTCCTCCTGTTGCATATTCAAATATTCTGTTAACTGCTCCTATACTCATGTTCATTAACATGCTACTGGTAGTTGCTCCCTCTAAAATACTGTTCAAGAAAATAAGCCATACATCAGTTGTTTAGCGATGATTAATAAGAGTCCTTTTATAGCTTTCTGTTAGCAAAATTGTCAATTTATTTTGGCTCTTAAAATGCATTTTGTCTTTTTGGACTTGAGAATAGTTCTTAAATGATTCTGTGATTACTTCGGACCTTAAATGCATTTCTATTAGAGTATTCTAGATTAACAGTAGATTCTAGAGTAACAGTCTAAATTAGATTTGAGTCGACTTATATAGTAGTCACCCCAGTAGCTGTTGAAGCGTTTGCTCCATACGTACTACGATCTTTCAATCTTTCGATGCTTTTGTCATGAATCCCGTTTGCGAGACGGACATCTCTAGTCCGCTGTGCCAGCAATGGATGAGTCTAGTATGCGCCCGTTGCAGGGATCTGTTTGCCGATGCAGCCACTGACGTTTGGGCCGCCTGGTGGCACGATGCCACGCCAGCCTTTTACAAGGATGTGACTGAGATGACCGTCTACGACTGCGAGAAGCTGAAGCATTTGCTAGAACTGCAGGCGGCCGCCTACAGTCCAAATCAAATTGTCGTGCAGCACACAGAGTTTGCGTTCTGGCAAAAGCTCGCCCTGATCTGCATCTATGTCGTCATACTTGTACTGTTGGTCGCAGTGTGTCGCCGCTGGAGAAAGAAATCTTATGTCGCCAGACAGCCCATTGACAACGAGCGAGAAGAACTGCAGCAAGATTCGTCCACATCGATATTGCCAGACGAAACTGCACCGCCACCAGCTAGAAGACGACCCAAGAAAAAGCAGGACTTCAAGACATGGATGCACAGGATGTGTCGTCCGATCTTCGTGCATAACACAGGTGCGCTGCACCGTCGACAGCAAAAGTACGAGCAGAATAAGCAGCTCCAGCGCGTCGTCAACGAACGGAACATTGAGAAGTGGACGAAGGCGCGCCACAAAGAACCGAAACGCGAAAATGAGAATAATGAAACTAAAGAAAATAAGCACACAAATGAGAGTTCATTATAAAAGATGATCTCAATATATAGAGTCAATAGAGATTGCTTAACGCTAGATAGGTAAGCCTCAGTAAAGGCATTTTTTCATTGCAATTGTTGCCTGTAGAAGTAAAAAATAAATTAATCTAAAATAATTGCAATAACAATTTGAGACTTTCTTTAGTTGTCAAACAATTTGCTAACGCTTATTAAAGGAGTTGCTGCAGAGAGATAATCCTGATCCGGCAGCCTCCACGACATGCCACTCATATGCTTAACCTGTAATGCGAGTTTGTGCTTAAAAGTTCAGATAAGTAGGTACGAATGGGTATGGGAATACCTGGCAGCAGCATAACTCGGAACTGAGCCCATTTACGTAGTATTTGCCCCAGTAGCTTTTGAAAAGTATGCTCTTTATAAACTGTATGTTCGATCTATCGAGGCACTAAACATGAATACCGTTTGCCAGGCAGAGTTGATGTGCCAGGTGTGCACCCACTGCAGGGAGCTGGTCGTGAAGGCAGCCAATGATGCCAGGGTCGCCTGGTGGCGCGAGGCGATGCCAGAGTTGTGCAAGGATATCGCCGAGCTGAGCAGCATTGACTGCGACAAGCTGAAGCTGGGGTTACCAGAAGACCGCAATAGACCACAAGGGCTACCACTGGCATATAACGACTTTTGGTTATGGCAAAACATGAGCTTGATCTCCGTTTACGTTTTAGTCCTAGTGCTACTGGCCTTGGTATGTCGCTATTGGGGAGTGAAACGCCATGTCCAAGTCCAGAGCAGTAGTACGGGGATGGAAAAGGAGCCGCAACAACGATCGATAGCATCGGAAGTATCTTGCTCCGACCCAACGATATGTTATAAGCAATCTAAAGCAAAGTTATCTTTAGTATCGGAGCAACCTTTAGCCTCGGGGAAACCATCAAAATCGAAGCGTCGAAAAGCATTATCAAAACGGCTCAAACGTTCAAAAGCCAATTCTGCAGCAGTACCGGAAAAATCGGAAGTACAATGCAAACCTAAAGAATTGGCATCGGAGCAAACTCCAAAATCGGCGTTGCGAGGGCCTAAATCGTTATCCCCAACAACATTTGAGCGACCATTCGAATCGGTGCATCTAGATGATAATTCGCCGCAACGGACAATATCTGATCTACCGCCAAAAGCGCATTCACCACCAGAATCACAGCGCCCCACAGTTCCAGAGCGCCCGCCAATTCCAGATCGACCATCAATCTCGCAGCCACCGCCAATTCCAGAGCGACTGTCAATCCCAGAGCGACCATCAATCCCACAACCACCGCCAATCCCAGAGAGGCCATCAAAACCTGCAGGAATAATCTCTGCAGATTACATAGAATCGGTGGAAAAGTCGCCCAAAAGGAAATGCAATAGCTTCAAGGCCTGGCTGAAACGTAGATGTCGTCCGATCCTTGTGCCACAAGCTGCACTGCACCGTCAACAGAATAAATACTGGGACCACGAGACATTCAAGGAGCTCAATGCCCAGGAGACAATTGAGAATTGGACAAGAGCACGGGAACAGGTCGATAGAGAGCTCTGAAAACAATAAGAATGATTTTTAAAAGCTTAAACAAAGTCAAAATTTTCCTAGAACTATTACTAATATTATTTTTAGCCAATCTATGGATAAACAACTATTTATACAGAATTATTTTAAAGAAAGTAACTACTGGGGCATTACATAAAAACGAGTGTATATAGCGACATCTATAATTATTGGTTTACTTAAACTCAAATCTTCAAAAGAAAGTGGAACGCAAAACGTAAATTTGATATATATATATATAAATAGGTTTTGCTTTTACATAATTAATCTACAAATTTTGGCAATTGTATTGACTTGTAATTACAAATTCAAATATAAGCTCAAAATAGATAGAAACATAAACGTGACTGTACCTTACTGCAGCATTGCCAACTGGCCTAATGAGCTAAGTGTCCAGTGTTGTAAAACGAGGCAATATTTCAAAAATTGCACATTTGCCATTGCAGCATTGAGTTGAGTGCGTGGATTAACATTAATTATTGAATAAAGGACTTTCAGTATACAATAATGAAAATATTCTACATTTTGTGATTTGAATAAATTTATATAGAAATAGAAGCAAATGGGCTAGCTCCTGCTGCTGCATGTATTTGAGATGCTTTCAAATTGCTTGGGAAGTTCCCCCTGACACACGTGCTACCTATAAGACACAACCTAAAATATAAAAATGGCTTAAGCCTATGAAGTTAATACAAAATCAACTTTAAACTAAGCCAGTGGGAGGCTTACTTTGCTTTCAGAAAGCTGTAAAGAATAAAATATAAAGATAAATTAAAAAATACAATCATAAATAAGCGTGCTTAAAATATAAATAATTTACATAAATAATATCAAAAATAAAAAAAGGAATTGTGAACAATTAAATTTCGATATCTGATTCGTTGCATAGTGTAGCGTTCTATAGATTTGCTGCAATATCAATTAGTCAGAAGATGGAATTAAACATTACACAAATGGGAGCTTAATGAATGATTTCCAAATTATAAATATGCGTGACAATCAGAGTAAATCTTGTACAATGAAATCAACATTTAGCAAAAACGTGACAAAATGTTGCCAAGTATGCAGCACGTTGATGTTGTTAGAGTTATCTCAACGCGTTGCATACATGACAAGTTTTTGTTTTGTTTCTCTGTTGCTTGTGTGTATTAATAAATCATAAATCTAAAATATTTATTTTACTTGTCAAGAGAAGAATTAAAACTACAATTCGATATCGCCTTAATTCTTGGGGGTTTTTAATCACAATTAATATTGCTCACTTATAATTAATTTGTTTTGCAAAACATGTTTCAGCACTCCAAGCCATTGCCAGGCGCATTAAATGATATATTAAGTATATATACATTTTTAAGTATATATATATAAAAAGATATTTTTTCTGTTTACAAAAAGTACAAATTTAGCTGGCTTAGGCTTATAATAATACATTTAGTTGGCCTGCCTTTTGCTTTACATAATCCAATAACAGAAGTGTTCTATTCATTTGTATTTTGGTTAATACTATATTTAATTTATGCACTAAATTGTTCAGAAATGTGCGCACTAAAAAAGTTGCTTAGCGTCTTTAAAAAAGTTGTTCACTGTCTTTTGGTATTGTTGTTAGTATAATATAATTACATTTACACATACACAAAAATGATTTGTTTATAAGGCAAAAATTGTAAGTCACTTTCTTGATTGCATACAGCGTCTAGTTCATTAATATATATATATATATCTAACTGTATATATATATATACATACACATATATTTATATTTATATAAATAGCCTTTAAAGCCGTTGAAATGTATTGAACATTATGTTTTTTTTTGTATCAAAATTGTTGCCGTATTTAAGCAGTTTGTGTCTTTGTAAAGTTTTTAAAAAAGTTCCATTAACAATTGAAACAAGCTCTGGTTGTGCCTGTGCGCTTGTTGTACATTTAACATATATATAATCTATACGTAGATAAGGCTCACTCGTTGTAACTTTAATTGTAATATTTTATGAGTACCGAGATCAATGTACGCTTTGCATGTGCGAGTCTATAAACAAATACATTAAACAACATTACACTTTAGGATTTTACTTAACAAAACTATTTCTTTTTTAACAAATTTGTTCAACTAAAAACTATGTAATTTCCTTTCATTCACTTCGTGTTTGGACAGCATAAATATAAACTAGTTAACCTTATATATATTTCTATATAATATTTTTTGGTTGCGGAAAATAAAAAAAAGGGTTGTAACAAATTACTTTTGTTGCTCTCAAGAGTTTTTTTTCCCGTGGTTTTGTTTCATATAAGTGGCAAAGCTTCTTATTTAACGCTGCTTGGTCCAAGTTCTTCTATATACAATTGGGAAAGCATAGCTATGTGAGTTTCTTTGCCCATTTCATGTCATCGTCGCGCGGCTTTAAGCCTGTTAAGCGTTCAATAATAAACTCAAAGGTTGACCAAAATCTAGAAGAACCGAAAAGTAATTGAAAATGTTAATTCGACAAGCATTTCCATATACTTACCTAAGCTGCTCCAGTGGCCAATTTAGCCAGCCGGTGGTAATGCAAAAGTACGTCTCATGCGGCGCTACATGATGAATGCGATGATGCTTGCGCGGCAAAATGATGTGACAGCTCTGCAGCAACAGTACCCACCGTGGCAGGCCCCAATACGTGTGCGACCATTTGTGTATCTAAACAATGGATATTAGTTAAATTTACTGATAATGGGGTAAACTTCAATTCAATAATAAGTCTCACCTGATTCGTCATAGCCACAAATATGGAGCATAGAAATACATAGGCAATCCAGCCGAAATTCTGTTGAATTTCGTACGGTGTTTTTATATAAAAATAGTGCGCCAAATAGCCAAGTATGGGAATGCCAACCATAAAGTTATCTCCGTTTGTCTCAATGAAATCATGACGTGTTATTGAAGTCGGATCGAGATGGTGTTCACGAAAGGGTCGCAAAAAGTTCTGGAAATGAAAAGTTAAACTCATTACCAGTTCTAATGTTCGTTAGATATTTCTTACCCTTCCAATTATGGGTAAGTCGACAGAGCCCCAGGTATCTGCTGCCCAATGAACCAGTCCGGAGGCAAAATCGGCTGTTATAATGCCACCCAATGCGGAGATGAAGGCCACGCTGATACGCTCCAAACGCATGTGTTTCGCAATCAGCGCCAAATTGATGATCATCAGGCCGATGCAGGTGTAAACACAAATGATTTCCTGTGCACGTTTACCTGCGAAAAGTGTTATACTCGTAAATGATATGCGGCGTAGCAACTATATAGCCGCTATATAATTGATTATCGGTTTGTGGCTATTAATGAATTAAACGAGCAGCCTACGAAATTGATATACTGTTAGTATAACTGATTAAAATTGATAGTAGCTAATCTATTTTTACGATTGATTCATCCAGTAGCCACAATATAAGTTAAAGTATTATTATAGGTTTGTACTGTTTTCGTCTATCTCATACATATATCGTTGTTCATAAAATATTTTTCGATCACTTATGTATATACGAGTTTATATAGGTCTGTAGTTCTTCACAAGTGTTATACAGTACGAATTTATAAATAACTTAATATACATGTATTTAAACTGGAGGAGGCTATACGACTTTAATTGTAGTCAACTGTTATATTGTTAAAAGTGTTATACGTACTTATTTCGTTTTTAAGCAATTCCTATACATACCATATACTATACAGCGGTTATACAACTGTTATACAGCTGTTATATAACTGTTATATGACTGTTAATTATCCTCACCTGGACTATAGAGTGATGCCAGCTCCTGTGCACCTTTGTTTTGAGGGCCCCAACGTGGTGAAGTCACTGCCGCTGCCGCCGGAACTGTTTTAGTGCTCTCTGTGGATGCATCATTTGCCGTCGTTTGCCTCTTCTCCTTCTCCTCCTCCTCCTGATGCAGTGCTGTGGGTGCTGAATTGCCATTGGGATCATCCTCGTACATGGAATTGGCCAGTATTTCCTTATCGCTTTTTGCCATCATTGTCTGTTTTGGTACGCAAATAAAAAAAAGAAATAAAAACAAAGAATATAAATTAGAGCAGCATGGACAAGGACATTTACGTCTCAGGCACTGGCCCTGACTGACAAAGCGACATTGAAAGTCGCTTTTTCCAGGACTCGGGGGAAACTGCCAGGTGCTCCCGTGTGCATTATTCAGCAACTCGCTGGGAAAAAAGACAGACAGCAAAAAAGAGGTGGGCGTTAAATATTTAAATGCTCTCAAATGTGCCGCTGTTGCATAGCTCTTGAATTTATAAAAATCTAACAGAACGAACAGGTGACCGAGAACAAACCCACCCAACGATTGACCTCTGCACATGTTGATGTCATTTACGTGGCCTGCATTGTCAGCAGTTACCGCACTCCGGATTCTCTTGCCGCTCTTCCGACTGTATGTCACGCAATATTTTGGAGCTTATACGCGGTCCCAGAGTGAGTTGTCAGCTTGTTGAAGGGTGTGAAAGAGGGCGGCGCTGCTAGTAGGTGCTGCTTAAAGTCGCCTTAATTAGGCAAATTGGTATTTAAATTGTGGTGAGCCTCGACGTTTGAGGTAGGCTCATTTAACGGGTTATATGCATAACAACATATTTTGTCAGTCCATTTTCATTCTTAACTATCTCTTGGGTCAGTGGAATTTTTTATGAAATAACAAATGGATTTCAACACGACATGCTGGAGTTGTAAATAGTATAGATATATAAAAATTCTATTAATAATTGGAAATGAGGAAATTACTTATAGTTATTAATAAACTATAGTCAATACACGACATTAAGTGAAGTTCTATAATTAACACGATAAACTCTTTTATGACTCGGTTCACTTTAGGATTGGCTCAATATTATATGAAATGCCATTAGTTAGACAAAGTCAACTATATATTTACACAGACACATGTGCATGTAATATGTAACATGGAATTACCAACTACTGCTGCCGCTGCAACTCTTCACCATAAGCTGGGCTCAAATTTTACTCAAATGTCATAGGTTAGACAGAGTCAACTATATGTATATGCGTGTGCTTTATATACGAACTGCTACAGGTGTTTGAGGCATATTTGTGAGTGAGAGTGTATGTGTGCTGGCGTGCGCATGTGTTGGTATGTTTAAGCATTGTGATTGGCCAGCGACTTGGACACGTCGATCAACTATTGCATTTGCTTTGAAAATTCTCTAGAAAAATATTGTTTATATTACATAAACCTACAATTATACAAAGGCACAATTAAAACAACATTAGAGTAATCTATAATTCAAAATATTATTTTTTAATGAGTTCATCAATGATAATGCTTTAAGAATGCCATTTATAACAAGTGAGTGCAACTACTTTAAGTAAATAAATATATGAAGTGGGTTCTCCAACAAATAACGATTAAAAACATAAGAAAAAGTAATGAATGGTTCAGCTACGAAGGTGGTTAAAGTAACTTACGATCCAACAGACATAAATTGATTTTTCTATAGATAACCTCTATCTGTCTACCTCGTCTTCACACATTTATAAACTGGAAAAAGCAGCTACCACTTGCTTTTTTATCGATTCTAAGTAACTTCAGATGGTCATATAACACCACATAATATAAATACTGTTGGAGGGTTAGAAGCGTGCGTGGTTCTTCACGTATAGAAACCATTAATTGTAGGATTTTCACTGAAGTATGACTATTATTTATGCATTAGTTGGAGTCTAGCTGAGAGGTCATTTAATGCCACATATAAAAATATATTACTTCTATATTATATTATTGTAAGGCACATAATGCTTACTGTATTGACAAAACAATTTCCATTCCCAATAGTCGTACATACAGACATATAAACAGTTCGTACATTGTGCTAATGATTGCGCTCAGGGCAGGAAATGTCAAGCAAATTACACTTATGGAACTGTCAAATTCGGAAATCGAGGTTGGTTAAGCGCAAACGCATTAATTAAAACTGGCAACGTCTATTGATGAAGCGCCCACACTGACTGGAAATATTTTACGTGAAAGGAGCTGACAGGCAAGCCAATGCTAATGGCTATCAAAAGGCGAGGTGTGCACCGCCCCCACAAAGGTCATGAAAACGAAACCAATAATCTAAGGCCCCACCAAAAGCCAAATATTTCCGTTTGACGTGCAAAAAAAACAGCAACAAAAACAAAAATAAAGAAAAGAAAATTAGAAAGAATAACGTTGATTCAAATTTCAAAAATAATATGTGAGACGCCCCACCTGAAAGGTGAGCTAAACATGGAAAATAAAAAGGAAAATGAATACGAAAACGTCAACAGCGAAATGTTAGCTACGGCGTCAATGGCGACAACTCCTATGCCCTCTAAGATATTGCGTTATTATTTATATCCAAGGTATATTCCGTTTCCAAGAAAAGTTAAAAAAAAAGAAATAAAGAATTAATCAACGACATAATTTAATTAACCTCGTTAAGCAAGTGGCCACCTCTATTAATGAAATGATCGAAGCTCAACTTGAGTTCAGCTCCGCGCTAAATAAATGTCGATAACTTTTCTCACATAAATATCGAGCTAAGTTTTAAGAAAGTCTCACCCCCTCTCTCTTTCTCTTTCGGACGGACTGTACAGGCAATTATACAATTACTCATTCATGAAAAATACTCATGCAAAATATTGCATTGATGAAATAACGGGGTATGTGCCTAGTTGTTCAATGGCTGACACACTTTCTGGCTTGTTTGTATGTTTGTTGTCATAAGGCGGAAAAAAAATAAAAGGGGCCACACAGCCAACAGGTACTAATTTAGCAGCGTTACGGGGATTTGCTTTGTGTGTGTTGTAGCAACGAAGGAAGCACAATTTATTACACGAAATGCGCGAAAAGTCACTCGAAAGTTTGTATGTGTTTTGAGGGCAAGAACTTCTTGCGTACCCCTTCCTACCTAGTTCAAAGTCAGCGATTCGTCGTATTTATAGTTTTTATTGTTAGCTGTTCGCAATTGATAAGAAATGTTGATGGTTTTGCTTTTGCATACTCTGCACTCGCGTAACTATTTATAAAAAGCATTAAAACACTAGACAAACGCTCTCACACATACAGACATGAAAACACTCACACATACCTACCTACATGCATACAATAACACTTTGAGCATTTGACTCACCTTTTGTGCGTGTGTGTGTGTTGCGCTGCTGGCGTCGTCGGCTGCGGGCGGCAAATAACGGCAAACAAAAACCGTGCTTATTGTCGCTGTTGTTGTTGCTAGCGGCGAAGGCACCTGTAAAGAATAGCACAGCAGAGCACTGGCATGTGTGTGGGTTTTACTTTAAGCAATTAAATTTAAATGAACCGTCTAGTAAAATATATTGATTAAAGTTAGAGTCCACAATACATTTTATGCATGCAGAGCAGCAAGAAACACGCACACAACACTCAGTTCACACAAACACCATTACACAAGGACGCACGCCATGAATTACAAGAGAACTACATACGTCAGCGACTGCTCCTCACTATGGGCAAATAGTAAATAAATGCTGCCTTTATACACGTGATTTTATGTTGTCACAGGCGTGAACTCGCAAATACGCACACACACACATATATATCAACTGCGACCCGGAAACCGACAACGACCGCGACTTTGCCTGCACTTGCACAGGCTACTTTGCACTAGTAAATACCGACAGCAACTAAATAAAATGCGAGCGATAGGCAACATTTCATTCATGCCCTCTCAGTTTGTATATGTGTGTAGTATGTGATCGGTTTGCTTTTACCGTTATATAGGGACGAGCGCGCACATACTCACGCTCAAATTACGCTACTTTAGCCACCACAAACAAACGTGGTACGACAGTTTTTACTTTTTACCAAAAATAATAAATTTAAATACACTTTACATTTTGACAGAAAATGCACAGAGAATTGTTTAATAAATTAAATAGACTACGCGAAATGCTTGTTATCGAACCGATTGCGCGAGCTCCCATAGTTGTGAGCTTTTTGCCAGCCATTACACAGTGTGACCAACTTAAATTGTAAACAAAATAAACAGCTGGTTGTTACGTCGCTGCACGCATTTTTAGCTAACAATAAAACAAGCCGCAATTAATTAATTAAAATGTTGCCTTTAGCACGCGGAATTTACAGCACCTTGACACAAATAACACGCAACAGTCGAGTATCGCTGCACACAGCCAGTGCGCAGCATTGTAAAGCTGAGCCGGCAGCCGAAAATGAAACGCCTGCAGAAGATGAAGAAGGAGAAAATGCAAAAGATTCCGCTTCAGATCCCAAGGATCGCAAAACTGTTATACCAGTGGAGACTTCGATACGCTATTTAAAAAGTGCCGCATACAAAACAACTTATGGCGATGAGTTTGTGTGGACACAATATCGGTACGTAGCAGAATAACAATTTTGATCCCCTTAAAAGCAATTCCAATTAATTTGCTCTTTTTAACAGTCGCAATCATAAGGGCATGTTTGCGCCGCGAAAGACGCGCAAGACCTGCATTCGCCAGGGAAAGATCAGCACAGGCAATCCATGTCCCATCTGTCGCGATGAGTATCTGGTACTGGACTATCGTAACACGGAGCTGCTAAAACAGTTTATTTCACCGTATAGCGGCCAAGTGCTGAGCTATTCCAAGACGGGTCTCTGTCAGAAGAGTCATTTGCGTCTGACGGTCGCTGTGGAGCAAGCACGCGATTGTGGTCTCATCACCTACGATGTGCCTTTCCGGGAGTATGATTACAGCGAGTACTATGGCAAAAAAGAGGATTCAAAGCAGTAAATGATTAAAGTTAATTTTTTGTTGAAACGCCAAGAATAGTCTTTTATTTAAGGTTAAGTTACAATCAGCTGTCATAACAGCTGTTTGCCATTTATAAATTTTTTGGCAATGCAAAAAGAAAAACTTTGGAACAGCTGATATTATTTACAATTTGCATTGCTTCCATTTGAGGTTAAGTTGTCATCAGCTGTTTCTATATGCAACAATCATTTGCAACAGCTGACTGTTTTAAGTACATAATACTAATAATTTCCTAATTTCCTAGATGTCTCGTAATTGCACATTCCTAGTTGTTGGCGGCGGCATTGCTGGCGTCTCTTGTGCAGAAGCTTTAACCATTTGTTGTCCAAACGAAACGATTTTACTGTTGACCGAATCGAGCGTGGTAAAGAGCGTGACTAATCTGGTGCCAGTTGCTCGCTATCTACACAAGTTCGATGTACGGGAACAGAATGTAAGCGATTTACGTGCAGGCATAGGGACCATTGTGGACCAGCTGGCATACATCAACAGCGGTGAACATTGGGCGCGCACCAAGACTGGGCTGGTCATCAACTATCGCTATATCTGCTTGTGCACGGGCGGTGCAGCTAAATTGTTTAGCACCGGCGAGAATGAGCTCAACACACGCATCATTGGCATACGCGACACAGATTCTGTGCTGGAGCTGCAGCGTCGGCTGGCCAGCGCTAAGGATGTGCTCATTCTGGGCAACGGAGGCATTGCTAGCGAATTAGCTCATGAGTTGCACGATGTGAACGTACACTGGGTAATCAAGGATGCTCACATTTCGGCAACCTTCGTGGATCCCGGCGCAGCAGAGTTCTTTCAACTAGCCAAACGGGAGACGGATCAGACAGTAACAACCAAACCTGCAACGGCTATCAAGCGAATGCGTTATAGCGAATTGCTACCCAGAGCCGAGCAGGAGGAGCAGAAGCAAAGTAGGCGCGGCGCCGCCTTGGGACCCGACTGGCATCGTACCTACGACTTAGGTGGAGGCGTCGCAGACACTGCTAGTCGAGATATGCCCAAGATTTATTACAATTCTCACATAGAGCGTGTCGAGCAGGTCACAACTGGAGAAGCTTTGTCCATTAGTCTAAAGCACGATGATGGTAGTGTGCAGCGTCTCAACTGTGATTTCATTGTGTCCGCAACAGGCGTGCAGCCACGACACGACTACGAAACAGATAAACCACTTCAACTGGCGGCGGATGGCGGCATTAAAGTGGATGAAATGATGAACACGAATCTGTGTGACGTTTATGCGGCGGGGGATGTGTGCACCGCTGGCTGGCCAAATGGAACGCACTGGTTTCAGATGCGACTGTGGACGCAGGCGCGTCAAATGGGTGCCATGGCTGGGCGCAGTATGGCAGCTGTACACGAGGGCGAAACAGTCTATCAAGATTTCTGTTTTGAGCTATTCGGCCATGTGACGCAACTGTTTGGCTTTCCTGTTGTTCTGCTCGGACGCTTCAACGGCCAGGATCTGGGTCGCGACTATGAGTTGCTTGTGCGCTGCACACGCAATAAAGAATACATCAAATTTGTACTACATCAAGGACGACTGCGCGGGGCCATATTGATTGGTGATACGGATCTCGCAGAGACCTGCGAGAATTTGATATTAAATGGCACAGATCTGACTCCCTATGGAGATGACATACTTAATCCGGACATAGACATTGAAGACTACTTTGATTAATTGAATAATTTTACAAATAAAGTATTAGTTATGCTTAAAATTAAGCTTAAGTCTAAGTTGAGTTCGGCTTCTTCTGGTTGTGTCATTTGAGTTTTCCCTCGGTGCCTGCACAAAAATATATATAGAAGCAACTTTCAATGCACAAGAAACTGCCTTTCAGATACTTACCCACATACTTAATCTCATCAAATGCTTTGCGCGCTTTCTTAAGCTCCTCATTCATGGTTAGTAGATCCTTGACTCTCGCATATTTACGTTGATCCTTTCGAACGAGAAAAATAATATCCTCTACTTGGACACGACCAGTGCGTCCAATTTCCATAGCACGATGTGTGGTCTCGGCAATATATTCAATAACCAGATCCTCCAGTAGATCGACTGTCTCCGTATAAGGATTTTTATCGTCGCCAAAACCAAACATCATGCACCGCAGTTCCTTGCTGAAAAGACGCTTGCGGCCCGAATTGGTGGAGACCATTTGCTCATCATCAACATCCTCATCGAACTGCAATGTGGATGTATTAATTACTGAGTATATGCTGATAGTATCATAAATTTACGTCGGCGCCTTCGAAATGTTCATCTGTTGTATTATTTGCAGCCATTCTGCGTTTTGTTTATCAAATTTATGGAAAGCAATTCACATCTGCAAGTATCGATGCTGCAAGTACTTTGCTACTACACACCGGATAGCTGAATGCTATGACACTCGATAATATTATTATCGATAACCGAAAAACAGACAGCACTGGTGTCGCCAAGGCAGGCGCAGCTTCTATCGTACGCACATTCAAATTTAAACGCTTGTTGATTTGAGAATAAATTACCGAGAATGGATGTTTATACATATGAAAAGTCGTTCCTTGAGCGTCTAAAAGAGGCGAAAGCTGTATTATCATGGGATAACGCGCCCATGCCCGCCTCGCATGTACGCTCTGAATGGAAGTCCTTTGTTGAGCTGCAAATAGAGCCAGCAGGTAAGTAAAACATACACACATGCGCAGACAGTACTCACATATTCACACACATATGCAGGTTGGCAGGCTATGTGGAAAATACCGCGCGTCATCTGTGAGGACTTGAAGCTGCGATATCCTACCATTGTGTTTGGGTGCGTCGACCAGGTTATTTTTGACGAGCTCAAAGCCGTGTTTACGGTAACCGCCGTGCAAGATCAAGATGTGCATTTACCGGAGCGCAATGAAGTCTCATTAATTGAACTGTGGCCAACATTGCAACAGGAAAACTCGGCACTAAATGTGGACACCACCGCAGAATGCATTGATCGCTTGCGTTTCTTTTACGCACATGTGTGGATGCCTTGGGACAAGGATTACGATGATGATCGGGATTGGGTGCAAATGCATTTGCAGGCGCGCATACAGCTTGCTTGTGATTTGACCAAGAATCGCTTGCCACGCCCACTGGCACTACATATGCGCACTTTATTAATGGAGGCGCGCTATATACAACAGCGTCTGGAGTATCTGGAACTTGACATGAGCGATGCCGAGGCCGAGAGCGATGATGAGGCCGTCGAACTCAATGACAATGCCACAGATCCGCCACGCAAACAACCAAAAACGGGTGGAAGTCCTAAATCGAATAACTTGAATAAGTCAATGTTGCCGGTGACTGATCTGATGTGCCTCCATCTACGTCTGGCGATCATTCGCAGTGAATTCGAGATTCTTGAAAATCCAGAAATGCGAAGAGCCTATAGTGAATTACAAAGCAATGTGTTAAAGCGTCATTTGCTGCAGCGCAGTCCCGGACGTCTGAATCAAATGGAGGAGAAATCGGAAAATAAGCAAATGTGTCATCTGGTCACACTTCCGTGCGAACTTCAGACGCATATTGCTCTCCTCAAACTGGCCGAGCAGCATGCAAAGCCGAATGCTAAAGTTCAGCTTGGCAACACTTTGCAGGTGAGTGAATGAGGCCTCATTAAGTTATCATTCATAACATAATAATTTGCCTTAATTTTAGGATGTGCTCAGCATTTCACAGGCCAACGAGGATATACTCATATCTCCCGGTCAGCACACTATCAAATTTCTCGAGCATCTGAATGATAATGGAAGTATTAAGGGCCTAATCGACGCGCAAGCAGTAATTGATCCAAAGCATGAACTATCAAAGTTGCCTTTAGTCTGCTCAAGTGATGAGGACAGCACTTTGTTGGTCATCGATGGTGACTACACTCTTTCGCACCTAGTACTGGATTGTCGGCATGTGCGTCGCGGCATTTTGCTGCGCAATGGAACACTTACGCTGCACAGCTGTCGATTGTTGGGCGACGGGCGCTCCAGCACGCAGGAGGCCATTGTGTGCATGCCACAAGGCCGGCTTGATCTGCAGGATTGCTGGCTAGAAAGCTTTGCAATTGGTATTTCAATGCGTGCCGAAACGAGCGCTAAGCTTAGCAATGTAAACATCAGGAAATGTAACACCGGCTTGGAATTGCTGGATCAATCGACAAAGCTGCAAATGCTTGGCCACAATTGCAATTTTCATACCTGTAAGATAGGCATTTTAGCAGATGGCATCCCTTTGCCCAATAGCAGTGAAAAGACGTTGGCCCTTAAACATTTCACTGATCTGCAACGGTGAGCAATCCTTGAAAGACATATTAAATATATCTCTAATCCTTAATTTGATCTATATTGTAGCTACAATGAAAGCAACTGGCTGGGGAATTGTACATTCAACAATTGTCTACGCAATGTACGGGTTTTCAATGAATCGGAACAATTGCTGGCCAAGCGTACCCATCAGAGTCTTCTATTGGAGGATCTTGACGGGGAGAATAAAGAAAATATAAATTAATTTTAGTGCTTCTCATGTAAATCGTATAATCAAAATGCCAATATGTAATAAAAACTTTTTTTACTGAAACGTAGAACGTTTTAAAGTAAAACTGTCTTACGTAGCTTTTTATACCTATCAAAGTTTATAATTAATTTAGTTAATACACAATTTCTGCGTATTATTTTTAAGAGGCTAACACATTTTTCAAAATTAATCGATATGTTACAATTCAAGCGCCAATACAAATATCGATAGTTGTTTATTTTGCTAAGCCACGTGTATCGATGCCTCGAAAATCAAGTACTTTCAGCACATGCTTAAAAATACCGCTGTTTATAGCCAAAACGAAGCGTTCGGTGTTTTAGTGCATTTAAAACGTCGCCATAAAAGCACAAAATTCACCTCCAGCAGCAAAGATGTCTAAGGAGCATTGGATGCGCGATTTGCCGCCGGAATTGCGCGATTTATCAATTGTTAATTTGGCTATGCCAGGTATATGAGATCATCAATGTCTAGGCAACGCCTCATTTCGACTAATTAACATTGAAGAAATTCCGTCGTAGGTTCCCACAATACGATGACCTACGGAATTAACAGCAATTCAAAGCTAGCACCCGATGCCGATACCGCAATACGTCGCTGGCATCGCTTTTTCCCATTCTTTGTACGTCGTTGGTCCAAAAATCAATCGTCAAACATTTTAGAGCAACTGCATCTGGGAGTGCGTTACTTCGATTTGCGAATAGCACAACATGAGGGAAAATTCTATTATTGTCACAGCGTATTTGCAATGGAAGTGTTTGAACCACTCATGGAGCTGCTTCAATTCCTCGATACACATCCCGAAGAAGTTGTTGTGTTGGATTTACAACACTTCTATGATATGACGATTTCACATCATCAGCAGCTCCACAAGGAGCTACTCCAGTTCTTCGATCAACGTCTGTATGCCACAACGGATGGTCCGCTCCTCGAATGCTCTTTGACGAACTGCGCTGAGCTGCAGCGCCAAGTGGTGCTCATCTGTAGACGCTGTCCCATTGGCCTGCCAGCTCAATTCTGGCCAAGTTATGCTTGGCCAACACCGTGGCCCAATACGGCTAGCATTAAGAAGCTGCAGTCTTTTCTTGCCAACTCGCTGCTCTCTCGACAGCCCCAACAAGGCTACGTCTCCCAGTGTCTACTCACGCCAACGGGTCGTTATATAGCGCTGCGTTTATTCTTCACTTTGAAGCGCACAGCAAAGCGCGTGGACCGAAAGTTAAAGCCCTGGATAGCGGAACAGTTGCCGGGGCCCTTTGATAATGGGCAGAAGCCGCGTGTAAATGTTTTCCTGGCAGACTTTGTTAATCTCAAAGAGGGCCAATTCTGTGATTGGGTCATTAAATTGAATACTAAACTGGAGTGGGATGAATGTGAGCTTGAAGAAAAAGAGGAATGCTGATTCTCTAATAATGTCTACTACAACTAATCGTACAAATATTGTTATAGAATTAATGAATGCTATTTTTTGTTTATATATCAGCACGAATCCGTCCTCAATTTTTATGCAATGCTCTCTCCCATTGGTGCTGTTTTTTGTAGACAAAAGATCTTTCTATACAAGAATTTCAACTATTTTTTATGCATATTTGCCTTAAGTTAAACAAAAATAAGTATTGAAACCAATGTGAATTTGTATATAAGCTTCTATATCTAGAGTGTTATATGTTTTGTTTGTATTGTTTTTCACAAATTGATTTATTTACAATTTACACAATAAAAATGAATTATAATGTCATTTGGTGATTGCCTGTCGTATCACAAGTTTCCTAAGAAGCAAAAGAAACCTCTTTTAACTTTATTAATTTCTGCTCTATAAAAGGTTTAGAACTTATAGCTGAAACTATAGAAAATGGAATTTAACACTAGTTAAAGTATAACTTCTAACTGAGCATACCCACTTAGTGCATTTTCAATTGTTTAACTTATCAGTTGCGTGAATGTAATTGAGATAAGAAAATGCAATTAGTTCGCATATTGTTAAGATAAGAAATATTCAATTGTGTTAATTGCATTATTGAATGACACACAAGACTTGTTATATTATGAATGTTACAAGGTAATCTTTAAATAAGCAAATATATTACAATATTATTATAAATTCATATCACAACTCTAATTTCGATTACTGTAATATAGTATATTCCCTATACACCAGCTGAAACACTAAGAATTCACTTAGAAGAAGAAATAAAAAAATAAATCAAAAATCATTATTCAATTATCAAAATTCGGAAAAAGGACTAAAAGATTGAATTATTTATTATTTTATTATTTTTTAAATAATAATATAATATATACGTTTATGTAACAGTAAAAAGAAATTTTATGTTTTAACAAAAGAAGAAAATAAAACAAAATATATTTGTAAGTAATAAAGATTGAGCGTTATTATGGTAAATATAATTTCTGAAAATAAAAATGCTGACGGAACTAATATTTATAAAAATGTGAAAAACAAAGAAAAAAACATAAACATGACATAAAAATATAGCTTAAATGATAAATACAAGGCAAAACATTGGCAATAAAAGCAGATATTGGAATTCAAAAATATTTTTGATAAAAATGCTAAAATAAGCACATATTTGTTAAACGAGTAAGACAAGACACAAATAGTTCGAGGATATCTATTTATATATTGCGCCTTTGCAACACTACGTGTGATGCGCTAAAATTCGATATTTTTATATCGATAAGTTTGGCATTTTTTAGCACAAACTTACATTTGAATCGAAACACTCATTTTTTAGACTAAGATATCTTGAATAAAAATATATCTTGAGCTAGAAAACTGTTTCACCATTTCCTTTCTAATAACAAATCAAAAAATAAGTAAATGTATAAATAGTACATTTATAAATATATTTTTTATTTATATTTTAAAAACCAATAAAAACAAATACATAAAATTGCAGTAAAAATCATATATGCATATAGGGCATATATGATGTTATATGGTATAGGTATATATAGCTATTAAATTTATACAACTATTATCGTCAATCGATTAGAAAACGCACAGCTTTCTGCGCTTTGGTTGGGGAACTAACCTCACTTGGCATAATTCCCAGACAGCTGTGCATGCCCAGAAGCACGCTGTCCAACCTATTGAGAGCATCCTGTAACTGATCAGCCTGGCAGCCAGCATCTGATTGATTCTCACGCTCCTGCTGCGCCTGATCACAAAGACGGCGCAGCCGTTGCGCCGAGCGCTGCATCAGCTGCAGCTCATGCTGTGCCAGCTGGGATAAATTGGAGAAACTACTGGCCGGCTGCTGTTGCTGCAGTTGCTCCTCCAAATCGTAGGTGAGCAGACGCTTGGTATAAAGTGCCAGCTTGCTGCTGGGAGAATTGCTAGCCGGTGTCTTGGCCGTCGGCGTAGAGCTATGCTGCGGTGTATTATTTGCGCTGAGCAGACGCTTGAATGGCTGCTTCAGCAGCGCATCCTTCATGGCACTCAGATTCAGGGCAATGCGACTGGAATTGTGTGTATCATTTAAAGTTTCATTGAGTGCCGCATCCATGGGCTCCCAATCAACCTCGACGCTTTCGAATACGTTGCATTCACGGCTGGGCGGCGCATCGCGTTGCAAGTCTAGCCAAACCGTCAGACGCGCTATTGGCCATTCGGCCTTCAAGGAGCGTTGCTTGTCCACAATAAGGATAACAGTGCGCAACATTCCGAACTCATCCGGCGTCTGTGCCTGACGGAACTCTAGATGCTGCAGCCCCAGCTGGCGACAGCGTTGAGTCGCCTCCTTAACCATCAGCTGTGTCTTGTGTAGACTCTCCTCGCTGGGATTCAACATGATGCGCTGTATATCCTCCAGCAGCGTAGACTTTTGCGCTGGGGTTGTCGTCAGGTCGTAACTGGGCGTTGACTGCTTCAGCTGCTGCTGAGCCAACGCTTGGCGTTCGGTTTCAAGCATTTCGCTGTTGCACTTGTACTTGAACTGCTCCAGTTCGAGGCACTGCAGCCGCTCCTCAAAGTCACGCGCATGCTGCACCCGTTCCTGCTCGATCCGTGTTAGGGCTGCCCGCTTTTCGGCCTCCAGTTCGTTGCGCAACTGTTGCTCCTGCTTTTGCAGAATCTCTTGATGCGCCAGCTGAAAGTCCACATGAAGCTGCTCCACCTTGCCACGCTGACTGCAAAACGGATTCGATATTCGAAAATAATGCGAGCCGCCAATGACCAAACGATCACCATGGTAGAGAGGGCGCCTCTGCTGAAGCAGCTCGCCATTCACATAGGTCTCGAAATCTTCACTGCCAGGACTCACATACAGTCGACCGGAGCGTTCGTGCTCAATGCTGCAGTGCTGCAGTGCTACCAATGGACCGTCCAGCACAATGTCTGGCAAAGAGTTCCCCGGCGCACCTGGCGAGCGACCACGTCCTATCCGAACAATGCCAGGTGGCAATAGATAAAAGAGTGTGCCACTTAGCATGGGATCGTCGGTAAGATTCACTAAGCATGCTTGCTTCTGTTCGGCGGTTAGCTCCAGTGCGAGTCCCTTGCGCTTGAGCAGCCGCAGCTCGGACTTACGCTGATCCTCAGCCTCTTTTAGCTTCTCCATCCATGATTTTTGAGCACGACTTAGCTCACGTTCTCGCTCCGCCAACTGCTGACGCAGTGCCTCCACTTCGCTGTCATCAACGGAAGTCTCAATTATGATTTTCCGTGGCGCCGGAGGATTATTGTTGTTGGCCGAGAGACGTCTTTGTCGTTCATATTCGTTGCGCAACGATTTCAAGCGATCCACCTCGGCACGCAGATCCCGAATGATCTTGTCATGCGGCGATTCATTCACCTTCACCCGATTCACTATAGAACGCGCCTTGCATGCATAGCGTAGTGTCGCTAGAGTCTCGTCCGCATGCAGGCTCGCTGGTGAAATGGTGGCCAGCATCACGGTCTTCGAATTCCCACCCAGATTTTCCTGTAGAGAAACAGAAAAGGAAAAACTGTTAATCATAACTGGTTCTTACGGTTAAAAATATAAAAACCAATTTATTAATTTGACGTTCAAAGCCAAAGCTTACTTAACCGCATATTTTTAAAGGATAAATGTCAAGATATTTTTTAAGTTTTTCAACACTGATTGCGATAACCAATTATTCGATAAGAGAATGCAAAATGGCTTTTCAGAAATCCGTCACAAGGTTCACTTCATTAAATGTTCAGAAACAATTTAAATGATTAACTACACTTGGACATATATGTGCACAAAAATACATATGTATGTATATAAAACCACTTATAATAACAAATGAGTAAATGTATATGTAAATATAATTAAGCGCATATGCATATGTAAATGTATGTATGTACGTATGTATGTATGTATGTACATACTTCATTTGCTCGCGTCTATCATATGAATTTTCCACATGCCTAGGTAGTCTTAGCTAAAGAATTATGACCTCCAAAGATAAGGGCTTATCAGTGTCGGCAAGGGAGTCGCTTTGACAAACTTTAAACTGACAAGGTATGAAGACAGAGGCAACGGCAACCGTTAACCGTTATCGATGCTTGCAAAGAAGAGCGAGAAAGCTAACTTGTTAGTTGTGTCAACAGTATATATATATATATATATATATATATATATATATATATATATATATATATATATATATATATATACGTATGTATGTATATAAATATAAATGCACATATGTATATTTTTGTGTATATTTATATTTGCCTGCGTGTGTAATTGACACTTGTTTGCTTAGCTCTCTGATATGCATGTTACCATTGCTAGGATAGAAAAGAAAAGAGAGGTAGAGTGAAAGAGCATGATAATCAAGAGAGTTTATGTTTGCATAAACTGCGCAGCAGCAGACGCGACGTGGGCGTGGGCATTTGCGAATGAACAGCGCCGAAAACGATTGACATTGTGTGGTCGCGTATGTACAGTGAGTCGCAAGCACTCAAACCTAATGCAAAAATAATTGAAAGGGTTTTGAAACTTTTAGAGGCAAAGTGCAAATTTAAATAAATTTTTAGCGAAGGGCAATACAACATATTTTTGAATATATAATATATATTAACCTTCGAGTGGCCTCAAAGGTGCCAAACATCTAAGGGGCCGGTCTAGACATGTTTTTACTTGGACCACGCGAGCATTGCCTGCGGATTGAGTAGGTGCCACCCCAGACATTGTCACCAAATATATCATTAATGTGTCATGGCTCTGTGGTTAGTTAGCCAGTTTATTCCATATAAATATTGCACTTTTGAATATATTTTTGTCTCAAAACCTGTTATTGAGGAATACTCTCGCTATATATAGCTTCTTGTATTTGAAAACGAATGCCCGCCCACTTCTAGAAGCATGTCACGACATCGCACACTGAAAGTCGTGTGCACAAAATACTTAAACCACAAAAACTCGCTAAAATACGATTTGTACAATCAAAACAGCAAACAACTTGATTAAGATACCTTTGTATGACGTAGGTAGATCAATTAACACAAGCTGAACGCAAATTAAATCGATATTTAACCTTTATTGAAGACAAAAGTTTCCAATCTTTAATTCTACACATTAACCTATCGAATTGACGCCATTATATACCAAACAGTTAATTCAGAATGTCTGTCTAAGCGCCCAACCACAAAGCCAAAAAGATGTCTGCGACCTAATTTACTCATCCACCTCATATAAAATTTATAACTTCATTGACAAAGCATGGGAAAAATGTCTTGCTTAGTAACAAAATTTCACGCAATATATTAACCTTTCGTTATATAGCGCAAAGTCGGCATACAGTCTAGACGTCGATTAGCAAACCTATGGCAACACTTGCCTCGAGTTATCTGAAGAAAAGTACCTCCAAAATTTGAAGCTTAAGTATAGTTATATGATATCAAATTTGCTTAAGGTGACAATTTTTAAAATCAGCCATTTGTTTTAGCAACTTAACGCTAACAAGAAAAACTTCCGACGTCAGTATTATAGTATTCAATATTTTCCATGCCACAAACAAATTAACACGTATTAACTGTTTTTGGCTGAAATACAGATGATTCATATGGAAAATTAACTAATCGTTTCAAAAACATTTAATTTACGCTTCAGTTACGAGTTTTGTTCGTTAAATATATATAATTTTAAAAAATAAGATTTTAACCACTGTGCCGACTCTCGCGTGAGTTGGAAAGAAATGGCAGTATGAGCTATAGCAGCAGGAACAGCATGTGTTAAAGCTTTAGGGAAAGCACGAGATGTCTAAGAAACAAAGACGTTTGTAAGTTTTTATTCGAGGCACGACCTTCAGATACTACGCACAAAGTCTTAAACAATAAGTATGACACATAGACAAAATGCTATTGCGAAACAAAAAATAATTGATACCAATTTTTTTTTTTTTGATAATGATAAAATAAAATCGGTGCGCAATAAATTCTATGGACAAGTCCCTTTGCATGTTACATAAACATATTTAACTAATATACCCACTTATATACGTACAACAATCAGCCATAGAAGTAAAGTAAGCAAACAAAGCGACGGATAAAGCAAAAACACTGCTACGCGTCGCGAAACGAGACACGACGACGACGAAAACAACACACGAATCGAATAGACGCGCGAGGGCTACAAAAATGCAGTAATATGGCGTTCGGCTTTCAGTTTCAGTTTTGAACTGACGACGTTAAGAGCATAAAAAAGAGTTCTCCGTACTTTAGTACAAGCACAGTGCATTTAAAATCAATGCATATATAAACTGGTTCTATACCTTGACTTGGTATGAAGAAGTGAATATTAAAAAAAAATAACAATTCGCGTTATTTGATATACAACGTAAAGCGCTTACGTGAATAACAAGAGTTCATTGCACGTTTAAAAAAGAAACACATAAAGACAACAAAAAGGCAAAGTGAAACGACCTCGCACAAAGTACGCGCGCAAAAGCAACAATAAAACAGAACTAAACCTCAAATACAACAAGCACAGCCCACACATTAGCAGTGCAACCTACATAATCCGCCTTTCTAAAAAATCTACAACAAACACTACAAATATGGACGTTTGGGGCGTATTTGTTGGCGATTCGACGCTTTCCTATGGAGGCTCGATGCGCAACAACTATTACCGTGACTACGAGCAGTTCCCGTATGGCACGTTGGAACACGCAAGCAGTGCCAGCGCATATCCGGCCAAGGACTCCTACAGTCGAGTGCAAGGTAATTTGAACAATAAATAATCACAAAGCGCAAAATAATAGCTAATGCTCATCAACAAATACTATTCATGCGTCTGTTGCGTCTGCCTACAATGCAGCGTCTGTCAGACTGCATACAACATTTATGTATGTCATGACATTCAGCTTTTGTCTCTAGCGGGGCACAACCTGTTCTTATGTATGTGGGATGTAGTAAAAAGCGTTAATTGCAAAAATACGCACTGTATAACATACAAAAAAAGCATATTTATGTATATACAGATGTACATACATGTGCTACATACAGTCGCTTATTTGCTGTTTATTGTGAGTGCCCGCATTATGTGTTGTTTTTGCAAGAATTTAAAAATAGCCGCAATATTCTGTGCACTGCACATATGTATGTGTGTGTATGTATAACACGCCTTAATTTGCGCACATGCGAAGACGTCTATGCGTGCATGTGTACTCGTATAAGGAAATTGGGCAGTCACAGGGTGCCGAACGCATTACATTTATAACACTTATCTTATCATGTGTCACATGCATTCATTTCTGTTTGCGCACATTTGTAATCGTTGTTTACTTTCGTTTTATATATAAAAGCATTTTGCACGTGAGAAACTTAAGTACGGCCATTTAATATTATAAAAATAAAATAAATAAAAAATGATACTTTACACATTGATAGTTTTTGTATGTTAAATGACTGAGTCCATTCGAGCTGGTTAAAGTTATTTCCTTACGAGACTTTTTAAGTGCAAAAAAAAAATACAATTAAGGAGTACAATAAAAAGCTTAACAAAAGAATTTATATAAAGCATTAATTTGCAATGCAAAAGACACCAAGAGTCCGGTTAACTGAGCTGGAACTGGAACCACTGTGCTGACTGTACCCCTCGACTTTAAAAAGCCAAGCAGGTGTTTGAGTCCAAAACAAGAAAACATGGCATACAAAATTGCGGCGCAATAAACTCATATATGTATGTGCATGCTATTTAAGCCAACAAGCCCAAAAAAAGAAGTATATTCATACATATATACGCATGATTAATTTATGCATTACTGCAACGCAATTGTAATTTATATAGATTATAGGAAATTTAATGCGTTATTCTCAGATAAGTCAAGGTTGCTTATCAAACATTTAACGAGAACAATCGCTAAAAATGCTTCTATATATAGACCGGCACCGCTTTAATCAATGAAAAACAATCTATAAATATAGGTAGATATGTATGTCCGTCAGAGCTCAATTGGCTGTAGCTTAATCAACAGCGGCTTGCCCATTGAGCACCCTGTGCCAACACACATGTCACAGGGTCAATCAAAACAACAGTAAAAGCTTGCCGCTGCGTGACGTTGAAGCGTGACGTCACGTAAGCAGCAGCTGAAAAAGGGCAAAGTGTGCGAGCACGCACGTAGGCCAATAAGAGACGAAGAGAACGAAAAAGAGAGCGCGTGATTTTTTATGTGTATTATGTGTATGCTTGTATGTATTAGTATGTCAACAACAACCTCGCTCTGCGTAAACATATTAAGTAATCGTCGATTTGAATAGATCTTCTCAATTAACCAGCTGTCAACTTTTTTTTGTATTTACAGAAAAATGCAAACAATTGAAATCGGAGAAGCAGCTGCGCAAGGATTGCCCATTCTGCAAAGAACATAAGAAGCGGCCATTGATCAACTATATGCGCAAACGTGAATCACGTAAACATCACGAGAGCATTTGCGAGGATGAAGAGGAGATGCACGAGCACGAGCTTGAGCACGAGCACGAAGTGCAGCACCAAATGGCAAATCTGACGACTGTTGTGCCAACGCAGCAGAGCTGCAAGGTTTAAACAGCAGCAGCAGCTGTAGTCAGGTTTAAGAGGAGAGACAGACAGGTGGCAAAATTAAGCCAAAAAAAAGAAAAACAACAGCAGCAGCAATTCACAATGCCATATATAGTTAGATAAAGACAACAAAACAAACAAAAACAAAAAAAAATGGAAAAAGAAGCATTGTAAAAGATGCGTAATGCGCCTGCTGGGCAGACAGCGCAAGTGAGAGCGAGACAACTACAATAATCTAATGCAACTGTACCTACACTAACAATTGCGTGCATTTCCGACTATGACGTAACACTACCATTTACAAATAGCAGCAGCAACAACAACCACAACTACAGCAGCAAATATGAAAACAAAAACAAGCAACAGCCAGAACTTATTGTAGTTTTCTGTTTTGCTGTTTAACTTGATAACAATTTATTATACAAACAAGCCGTTTACTATTTCTTTACAACCTTTTGTTTATTTTTACTTTATGCGGAAGCATAAAAAATGAACGTAATAATTTAATTGACATACAATACAATAGCCGTCGCCCCGCTTGGCTCAACCCAAGTGAACTGCGGCAGCAGCAAAAAACAAAAACGGAACGAGGGAAGCAAAATCGCCAGATATACCAGAAATATTTTTCTATTTTGCGTACGAGACTGAGTAAAAAAATTGAAATATTGAAGCAAGTGTTTTTTATATACAAAAGAAAATTCTTGAGAGAGAAAGGAAAAACAATTGTTTTCAGTTTCTACACCCTGAAAATTGGGCAAAAATTGATACATTATTTACAGGAAAATTATATTTAAAAAGCTTCATTGGCGCCAAAAAATATTTAGTATTTTCTTCCTACAAGCGTTTAGCTATATATATCTATATATATAGTTTTGACCCAGACTTATATATATCCTTGTCTATATTAGACATCCTAATGTTAAAAAAAAAAAACAAAACGATTCCCCTCGCCAGCAACAAAATGTGCACAGTTAAAAGAAAAGAAAATTTATAAATTATATATAAAAATGGGCTTAAATTCAAAATATAATTATTACAGCTACAGAGTTTGAAATTTATGGTTAAAAGCGTTACAATCGTTGAAGAATTTAATACATGTTATTGAATTGATTTTATTAAACATTTTTTATAAGCAATTCAACAAATATATATTTATTATTAACTGTGCAGCTAACATGGACAAAAAGATATTAAAAAAAAAATATATATATATAAATAATGCAAACGAAAATTTAAAGATATTTATACTATTGTTAAAATTTAAAAGAAAAACAAAACATTTAGCTTGCGGGTATCGAGAAAATTTTTGCAATTTAAAATTGATTATATTAATGTATTTATTTTTAAGTTTAATATATTTGAAAAAAAAAAAAAGAAAAAACCACAAACTTTCTAAATATATAAAAAACAATAAATAAATTATGTTATTGGTATTTATAAAATGAAAACAACTAAATGGAATTTTTATTTTGGATGAACAGCTAAAGAAAGAAGAAAACTAAAAAAATGAAAAGGGGAAAAATGGTTTCTTTGGAATTTGTTAAGAGTTGCGGAATTACGTGCAGCTACGAAAGCTGTCATCAAGCTGAGTTAAGAGAACTTTTTCTTTATGTTTATAGAAGGATATGTAGGAAGGATATGTAGTATGTATAGAAGGATACGTAGTAGGAACTACACAAAATGATTAAACCAAGCTTTAAACTTATTTTTATATGGACTTGATAATAAAAAATATCAAAATTTAATTTAGCTCAAAAGATAAAATGAAAAACGTTAATAAAAGGCTAAAGTTTTAGGTTTATAATAATTTTGAGAAGTTGTTCCTGCAAACATGAATATATTAAACACATATCTATTGTGTGTGATCTTAAACGAATGAGCTCTTTAAACTGATTCATATGAACAATAATAAAGTATATATAAAGATAAAAACATCGCTAAGATCTAGATGGGAAGTCCCCGTTTAGAAACACATACCGCATAGTTTTCTGTTTCTTTCACATATTGGTTATATTTGCAATTGAGCTTCAACTTCAAGAATTTTGTAAACAAAATCAAAATCAAAATTGTATAAAGCACACATGAAAGTGTATGCAAAAGAGAGACGCTAGAGACTAGCTCTACAGACCTAAGAGATATGACTTAAAAACTGAACTTCGATAACGTTTTCAATCGATTACATTGAAACGTAAAAAGTTATCGTTTATTTGAAACAAAATCGATCTGTATGTGCTACATGTAGACCAACGTAAATTCCAAGTCTCTAAGTTCTGAATGGGACGACGGATGGGCAAACGGACAGAGCTGGATCCATGCAGCTCGTATTCCTGATCAAGAGCTTACACAAGTCATAGGGTTCGTTACGCTTGCTTCTCACTAGTACATTCATTTTAAAAAACTATTATACCATAAATTAACATTGTGAGTGGGTTCTGGTTTTATACAATTAAATTTAAATATCTTAGGATCGTGCCACTTACAAGTTATTTGTATTGCTTTATAACGAGTAATGAAACATATACAAATATGTGTTAGAGTTTGTTATATATTATAGGAAATATTTGTAATATAGAAATTTTATCACGTACTATATATTAAAAATATAAATATATATATACTTTTTTTTATAAAGATGTAGTCATCATCAGCACAGTATGCCCTTACTCATTTGTGCATTCAGCTTTTTCTATACAACAGATTGCTTGAAAGCAAGAGCATTAGCGTTGTTATCTGCTACAAATCGTCATACAGATCATGAATATATATGTATACAGGAAGTACTCCATTTAAACAAAAAATACCTGAGGCAATGCGTCAAACTGCATGTGACGCACATATTTTGTCTGGTTTAAACGGACGATTTATATATATATATATCTGCACAGAAACAGCCAAAAGACAGATGAAAATTGGATGTGTAATACCCTAGAAAGGTTCGAAATAAGATGATTAATAGTGCGCAATTTGAGCACTAATTAAATTTAATTTAATTGGCAAATCGAGTCTGTTGAGTCGAGTAGATTGCATCAGCTAAATCTTGCTCATACTTAAAACCGCTAAACTGAAAGATGATTTGGTTTTTATACTCGCTCACGTTGTCAAAGAGAGTATATTAATGTTTGTGGAATGTTTGTCAACTTACATATTTAATATATGTATGAATATACTAAGCTTTCAGACTTTTTGAATACCCCTACTGGATGTGCTGCAAATCATGAATTTCTATATATTTTACTATTATCTGTGAGTTTATTGAAAAATTTTGGTATTTGAAATATATTATGGGTTATGCCAAGATAAACATATATAGGCATGGTATATATAGGCCTTTCAAATGGGGTAAAATTATAGCCAATTACGTAACTGTTGACCTCTTCTGTACACTCATGAAATAATGTTAAGTCTATTACTCTTGAGAGCGTGACGAATCGAAGATTCCGATATAAAATTTAGATGAAATCTTATACTATATAACATAAATCTTACTAAAAACTCGAGATATAACACCTACATTATATTTATTCATATAAGATAATTCATAACAGTTATCCTGAATTAAAAATACCAAAATTGGCCAAGAAAGTTAATGTTAAGCCGCCCTATAAGCTGAGGATCACTAAGTGGATTATGGATTATTGCTCTACACTCAACTTCGGCTAATGCCGCAAATATCATTATTTTTCCTGCCTTGAGCGAGCATTGGGCAGCCGACTACGCACGGCTTTAAAATTATTTCGAATTTGTATGTTTATTTATTGGAGTTCCCGTGCTTAAGACTCCACGGAAATGTTTTCGTCTCGCACCAGTTTGCTAATGAAAATCGAATTAAAAAGTTTCGTTTGAAGTCTGGCATCCATTTAAGATCATTTTGCTACATTGAGGTCAGCACGGGTGAGGTCAAGCCAAGAGTTGATCCAACTATAGATATAATGGCGTTTTAACTAATTCGACCTGGAACTTGGACCATGAATCGTACTACATGACAGCATCCTATATAATTGAAATTGTCAAAGTTTTCTTTCACTTGTTCCACATGAATTGAATTAAATCAAATTGAATTTCATGAGACTTTTGACACAATTGAAAGAGCTCAATCCAATGAATTTTGATCATATCAGGTCTCAACTACTTGGAACCGCACTTCCAGTACAGTAGAGACTCACAGATTAACTACCCGTGACAACAACAACTTAAGCACACGGGGAAGCCATAGAAAAAATATGCAATTTGTTTATACAATGAATTTGATTCATTTAAAATTCAATGTTAACTAGTTTGTGCATGGGAGCGAATGGGTGGATGTCGAGTGAGAAGGGGGAGAGAATGTGCATAGATAGATATGTATATAGGGTGTGTGTAGTGCCACAGTGAACGGAGGGTAATGAGAATTAGCTCAAAATGGAATATTCTAGAAAAATGATTATATATTTTGAATACTTCAGAAGACTTTTGGAGATATAGCACCAAACCAGAGGCAGATATAAATCAAATTTGGTAAATCAGAGCTTCTAGCTGTAAAGCTGTAGAAGATATTGGCAATTTCAGATTAGCCATCAATAAAGATAACGATATCATAACAGATCTGTTTCTATTACATCAATAGAGGAGATCCAGAGTTACTCAATTATCACATTATAAAGTTTATAGTTTAAGAAAAAAAATATATAGATATAGCTATAGTTTTTTTAACTGAGTAGATATATCCACTATATATAATTTATTTTAGGTTCTCTAGCAAATAATGTATTTACATTCAAATATAGGTAATACTGTAGATCAGTTGTTGTTAGAGAATATAAAGCAAGGTAATACTATATAGTTTGTTAGAGACAATAAACCGCATTACCTGAACTAAACAGGTGCCAAGGGCATAAACAACAAATCATATTACCATATTATCCAAGCTAACTGCATCAATAAAAATCTATATATAACTAACTATTTATTATGTATATACTATATGTATATAGACCATATCTATGCAAGCTATCTAGCTGTTTACTCCATAATAATAATAGTAATCGATATATCTATCTATTATAACTAGTTTATTACAATCTCTCTACATCTATTGCATATTGGACGAGAGTAAGCAGACTTCGGGCCATAGATATATACGTAATTAGCACAAATAAACCAGTTAAGTAGACATCGTCATGGTATAATCATAATATCATGCATGGAAACGTGCCAATATTTTGGATCGTATAGCTAACTTCTCATATGTCGAGATTTTCAATTGTTGCCAATGGCCAAATGTTGTCGTCAAACAGATGGCACGCGTTTTCAATTAGCCAAACTAGTTAAACGAACTAACATAAAAAAATATACAGACTTTTTATATTTTCTAAAAGAAAAC